CGCGGACGCTTGGATCCACCAGACGGTGCGAGGATACATCATCGATTTCGTGGACATCCCGCGCCAGAATTTTTCCCCACACGCTACACGATGCTCAGCGGAGGACCGCCGACTCATCGACAGCGAACTGCAGGACCTCCGAACGAAAGGGGCGATCGAATCCGCTCCAAACGGAGGGGGTTTCTTCAGCAATATCTTCCTGGTCAAAAAGAAAACGGGAGATTTCAGACCAGTCATAAATCTAAGGCAGCTAAACGCATACGTGATGTACCGACATTTCAAAATGGAAGGCATCCACCTTCTAAGAGACCTCCTTCAAGACGGGGACTGGTTCAAGAGATTGGACCTCAAGGACGCGTACTTGTCAGTACCCGTCCACGTCTCTTGCCGACAGTTCCTCAGGTTTCATTGGAACGGCCTACCGTGGCAGTTCACATGCCTTCCATTCGGCCTCAGCTCAGCCCCATGGTGCTTCACCAAGCTGCTAAAGCCGGTAGTTGCACATCTACGCACACAAGGCATTCGTTGCATTATCTACCTGGACGACCTGCTACTGTTTTGCTCAGACAAGTCCAGACTGACTCTACACACGCGATATACCATCCGTTTCCTGACGTCCCTAGGATTCGTTGTGAATCACCAGAAGTCGGCAATATCTCCAACCCAGACCATACAATTCTTGGGCTTCGAGATAGACTCCACGTCCAGCACCCTGCGACTGCCAACGTCAAAAATCACAGCCATCAAGAAGGAGCTACGCCGGGTCCTCCGTTGCCACTCCATTCCACTCCGCACCTTGGCGCGAATTGTAGGTCTACTATCCGCTTCCATCCAGGCAATTTTCCCGGGACCGCTCCACTACAGAGCAATGCAACGCCTGAAGACGTCCTTCCTTCGCCGGAACCCTTCCTACGATCAGACCATCCCGATAACGGAGGAAGTCAAACAAGAACTCAGCTGGTGGTTGGACAGCATGGAGGCATGGAACGGCCGTGCCATTTTCGGGAGCTCACCCGACACAGTCCTGGAGTCGGACGCGAGCCTCTGGGGCTGGGGCGCAACTTGCGAAGGCAGGTCAACAGGCGGTGCCTGGAGTTCCCAAGACCTCAACCTCCACATAAATTGTCTGGAACTCCTGGCCGGGTCGTTCGCGATCCGCAGCCTAGCAGGAAACAAGTCGAACTGTTGCATCCTCCTCCGGATGGACAACATATCTGCGGTCCGCTACATCAACCGCCTGGGAGGTGCACGATCCCGACTACTCTCGGAAATAACGAAAGGGATCTTCGACTTCTGTCTACCACGCAACATCTCCCTCATTGCAGAGTATCTCCCGGGAGAAACGAACCTGACGGCAGATTGGTTCTCACGCCACTGGCGAGACAGCAGCGACTGGAGACTGGACCCGCAGATATTCCAGTGTCTGTCGTGCAGGAGGGGTCCCTTTCACCTGGATCTGTTTGCGTCACGCACCAACAGGCAGACGACCAACTACTTCAGCTGGCTCCCGGACCCGGAGAGCATGGCAGTGGACGCATTCCTCCAACCATGGCCGCCCAGAGGAGCTTACGCCTTTCCCCCTTTCGCCATGATAGCGAGGACGATTCAGTACCTGAAGACCCAACGAGGGTCTCTTCTCCTCATCGCTCCCCTATGGCAGAGCCAACCCTGGTTCCCGGACCTCCTGGCATCGTCCTTCATGGATCCGCTCCTCATACCATCCTACCCAACACTCCTCACGGACCCGAAAGACAACCCCCATCCTCTCGTTCTGGAAGACCGTCTCGCCCTAGTGGCTTGGACTCTTTCAGGGGTGCCTGGCAAACCAGCGAGTTATCGCAGGCAGCTAGAGATCTCATATGGGACTCATGGGCTCCAGGTACCAGGCGATGTTACCTATCAGCTTGGTCCTCCTGGTCCTCTTGGTGCAGTGAACGGAACATCGATCCCTTTACTGTCCCTGTGACGGCCATTTTGAATTTTCTTTCCTTTCTTTTTTCCACGGGCCGTTCTTATCGCTCTCTCAACGTTGTCCGCTCCGCGATTTCGGCGGCGCACGACCCGGTCATGGGAATCCCTGTAGGCAAAGACCCCATGGTCTGCAGACTCCTGAGGGGCGTTCGGTTGCAGAGACCCCCTCGACCCAAATACTCCCGCTTATGGGACGTCGAAGTCGTCCTACAATTCCTAAGGGATTGGCCGGACAACGGCAGACTATCCCTACGACAACTCTCGGCAAAGCTAACACTGCTACTCTGCCTTGTCTCGTTCCGCCGGGTCTCGGACGTCCGCGCTTTCGACTTCGACGCCTTTTCGGTCTCTCCAGAGGGAGTTACCTTTCGGGTTTCACGTCGGACGAAGTCGGACTCTACGTCGGTCTTTTATCCGTTTTTCCCGTCTGACCCACAGCTCTGCGTGGTGGCTACCCTACGTCGGTATGTGGAGGTCACATCCCCTCTCAGGGTCGTCCCCTCGGGTCAACTGTTAGTATCTTATGTTAGGCCACACGTGCCAGTCTCAGTCACTACCCTCGCCAGATGGATAAGATGGATTCTATCATTGGCAGGAGTGGACGAGACTTTCGGAGCCCACTCCGTCCGTGGAGCGGCGGCTTCTTCGGCCTTCTCGGCGGGTGCTTCTCTGACAGATATCCTACGCTCGGCGGATTGGTCGCGAGAATCTACCTTTCGGACATTTTACTTCCGCCCGAACTCGGGAGCAGCCTCATCTCTCCTTCACCAGCGTTAAAAATGCAAAATATGAAGCCTCCTGTCATGTGGTAAAATTGAAGATTATGCTAGCTTTAGTGTACCTATAATCTTAATTTTAGTAATGACAGGAGGCGAGTATTTTCCCGCCCATCCCTCCCTTGGGAGATAAGGCTCACGTAAGTATGTCTGACTCTGTATGCTTCAGTCTCTGTTTGTGTTTGCTTGTTCTACACTTTATTGGAGATAACCTTGATCGTTTTCTTACTTGGTATTCTGTTATCATTATTTTCAGTTATATATTATCCCTGTATCTAATCATGGGCTGTTACCTTTAATTCAACCAGTCTCCAGACCGGTTCCTAACCTATTTCACGTTCTCTTTCAGTGTAATTCCGTGGCCTTACAGCTCATTTTCAGGACGGACTCAACTACGACTTCGCCTGCTCAACCTTCATTTTTGGATAATCGCCCGTTGGCGCCTGTTATGGAACTCTGGACTCTTTGGACCTGTATTCATGATGTCGCATTAGAAAGAGGGGGAGGAGCCTTATCTCTGTGAATACTATGCTTCCTATTGCATTTTGATTGGTTAATGTTTTCACTTTTCTTTACTGCTGTGTGAGTTAGTAAAGAGAGTTTAATGCAAAATACTCGCCTCCTGTCATTACTAAAATTAAGATTATAGGTACACTAAAGCTAGCATAATCTTCAATTATGTTTTAATGCAAAGCTTCTATGTAAAATAGTTTTCCTTATTTTAGTTTGCTCGATATGTACAGTGTTGAATGCACCTCATACACAAATACACATACATATAAATTCACAGATCATAGCTCATACATACATACATAGACATGTGTACACTCACATACATACACAGACACACACTGTCACATACAGAGGCACATTATATAAAGGCACATACGTACATACCGGGTTATTTACAAAAATGAGAATTGTCAGGAATTCATAGTAGATTTCAAAGTGGATGACAGAATAGTCAAACTAAAAATTATCAGGAATACAATGCTTTCAATGAATAACCTTGTCAGACATGAATTAACACACACCTCATCATGGACTCAGACGCGCCAAAACACAGTCACAGACATGCACGCATTAATAAAGTTACAAACATTCATTAAAAAAAAGACAGAGGTACATGCATTAAAAGACACACAAAGTCCCATACACAGACACACAACACACTCAGTCACATAGACATAGGCTTTGCCAGCTACATACTGGGGGAGTTTCTAGGTTTGGGAGGTTTTCAAGGCTGCATTCTAAAGCAGCCACTCACTCTCCTGATCCCTACCGTGTTCCAAGCTGTGACACTCTTCCCTGCAGCGCCCCCCTCATTCTAGTGCTTGGTCACATATGCCCCCTCAAATTACACTGGTGGTCCAGTGGTATCCTATATCTGTTCCCTGGCAGTCCGGTGGTGAATAGCAGGAAGCGCACATCCTGTTGTTTCAGATCATAATACCCACTCCTTCACGGCTTCGGATTTCAGTGCTGAGAATCTCTGAGCCTGTTCTCTGACTCACTAACTGAGCGCCGGAACCACATGGGAGAGGATATGATCTAAATGCACCTACTGCCGGTGTGCACCAGTGGACTACCAGGGAATCGTTTAAATTTAATATGCTGGTGTCCCCAACTTGCGAGCTGTGTTGGCCGCCAGGCGCCTCTTGTCATGGCGCCCTGCGTAACCGCACAGCTTGCACACCCCAGAGGCTGATGTTCCTGCTCCTTTCTCCTCCCTCATACTGTTTGGTGATGCCAGGCTGGAATTACATCATATTCTGGCTCCCGGCATCACCACATAGGGCGTGTGAGGGAGCAGGAAGATCATCAGCACAGACAGAGCTCCCTCGCCGCAGCCGCATGACTCCTTCCACACTCCGGTCCGGTATAGCGCTGCAGAGTAGGCACCTGCCCTCTGGGATAAGAAGGTGCCTACTCTGCATTGCTAAACACCACTCCGGAGGCGCCCTTAGGTGGCCAGCTGGCCACCTGCTGGGCTCTTTGTGACAGGCCATCGGCCTGCTCTGCGCGGGGCCCCCAACTCCTGGTGCCTGGACGCAGAGCACCCTGTGGACCCGCCCAGGATCGGCCCTGATCTCACCACTAGAATCGCAAGGGATTCTCCACTGGACCACCAGGGCATGAGAAAGATCCCACCTCCCAGGCAAAGGTAAGAAGTAAGGAGGATATATTTATTTTAATCTAAAAAAAAACAAACAAATGTATGTATATATATTTTATTTAATCTGGTCTAAAACGGTTTGTATACTTATTCTAGGAGAGCACCACGGCACTCCTGACGCCATAACTACTACGTAGAGCTGTAGTGGTTATTGTGCCTGAAATTTTCTTTTAAATTATTGCCCCCCAAGATTAGGTTCTGGATCCGCCCCTTTCCCCATATGCATCAATGAGTTGTGGATGCCCATGAACCTGACAAGAGTTCACCAGTTGTCCTTCCTTACACCATTTTTGGTAGGTACTAACCACTGCATACAGAGTACACCCCACAAGACTTGCCATTTTGGAGTAGCTCTGACCAAGACACTTAACGGGACACTCCAGGCACCCAGACCACTGCTGCCCATTGGAGTGGTCTGGGTGCCAACTCCCACTACCCTTAACTCTGCAAGTGTAATTAGTGCAGTTTTTCATAAACTGCACTAATTGCCCAACAGTGTTAAGTCCTCCTCTAATGGCTGTCTATGAGACAGCCACTACAGGAGCTTCGGGGTTCTTAAAACACTTTTAGTGTTTTAAGAGATGCTGGACGTCCTCACGCAAGGCATGAGGACCTCCAGCGTTGCCGGAATCCCCATAGGAAAGCACTGAATACTGCTTTCCTATAGAGTGGTGTAATGCACGCGCGTGGCAATTGCCGCGCATGTGCATTAGGTCTCCCCGCCGACGTCAGCCAAACAAACTTTAATCACACACACAGAAGGCTCCTGCATGGTCTAGAAGGCTACTAACAGACTGCGCCATAAAGGAAGTTTTAATTAGACCTTTCTTTACAGGAAGTGTTTAGGAAGGCTGTGTAAGTCACATGCAAGAAGGTGTAACCAAGGCTGCATAAGCATAATGATTTAACTCCGAAATGGCAATTGAGCAGTCAGTCTGCAGGGGAATGATCTATACACCAACACTCTTCATTATACTAAAGTGTTGATTAGGTTATGTTACTAAACATGAATTGGAATAACTTATTTGCAATACATTAAAAGCCACTAAGAGGAAATGGTTACCCAAGTGACATCACTCCACAACTTTGCCCACTGGTGATATATGAATGCTGTGTGTGAAAGCTGTGGACATTGTCTGAATACCCAGTGCAAATGGAGGATGTTATGTGCAGGACTTGAATGTTGTGTGCAGCCTGTGTTAGTGCAAAGTATTGGGTGCAAGTACCCAAATTAATGATCTAGCAATGTTTAGAAGCTAAATTAAATAAAGGAGGGGGAGGAGAATTGTCAGTTCACTAAGTCTACATTAGGCACCCTTGCAAGAAAGGCAACTGTAGGACGTTGCCTGTGGAGAATTCAGCTTGGGACAGATGTTCCCCAGACACCATCCCACTTCTAGCACAAAAAGAGCAAAATCAGGATATGTGGCAACCATGCTGGAATAATGTCAAGTGTCTTCATTTTTGTAAAACAAAAATCTTCATTGATCAGTTTTAGCTCGTACAGATGAAGACAGAACCAATCCATCACCATTCATTTAGCAAAACAGTTTATCACAGATTAGCAAGATCACAATGAGAGTGCTGTATCATGGGATTCCATTTTAGTTTGAAATTATTAAAATCACACACAATAAAAAGGATAGACAACAATTTTAATAATTTTTCTTATATATTCTCAATTTAACACATTTAAATAGATGAGTGATTACGTACATGTATAATCGGGCATGGAAAAGGTACATAGTACCAAAAAACAGCTCTACACAGCCTCCTTTTGTATATTACCGGACAATACATAGGGTGGTTTAACATTTGCAGCTGGATTACATTATCAATAAAATCAGCCTTGTTCCCATAGATGGGAACCATTTTTTAACATTACTAGAAGTGATTTTGAGAAAAGAAAATAAGGATATAAAAACATACAAACAAGAAACAAAACTCCCCAAGTCATCCTAACAGGGGAGTTATTCCACTATCAAAACTACATTGTAACGGAGTGTGTTGTATCATGAGTTTTGATCCTAAGTCATGCCTCCTGCAAATCTGAGAGTCTCAAGTGCAACCAAATATTGTGCTCCAAACACTTTTAAAATAGCCCATGAAATTCAGTAATAGTACTTCAAAATCTTAATGTGATGGAAAGGACGTTTACCAAACTGTACTTTGAAGAGCATGGTTACTTTTTTTTTTTTTTTTTAACAATTTATGGTTATGCAGCAATGCACCCGCATAGAACAGTATATATAAGCTCAAGACAACCAGTTGAAAAGTAGCAGAAATAAATAAAGGGACACATACATGGGGATATACTTTGATTCAAAATGTTCCTCGCCCTTCAAAGTCTATCAACCCTGGAATATGTATATACCTGTATGAGGACCAAAAAGTAACTGGTCCAGTCCTGGAAACACTATTTCTTATAACACTGACAGGAAGTGGCTGCCAAATGTGCCATTTGTTTACAAGTAACTACACTCCTTTGACAACAATAAGTACAAGCCCACTTTCCAGAATACTGTCTTTTGTTAAAAACTACAAACATTATTGATGTTTAGTACCAGTGAGTGTTATTTAGGTCATTGAACATCTGCCTGGGTCTTCAAAGGGTATGCCTTGAGATATACTGGTCAGAAACAAGATGGAGGTTAAACACCATAAGAACTGAATACTTTAAACAGAACTTGCTGGTGATTGGTCTAGCTCACTCTTGTCCCTGCTTAAATTTCCTAAAGAACAAACTATCAGTGCTTCTTCTTATAATTCTGCCCATTAACATCATTAAGCAACTCATTCACTCCAACATATTATTTTGTGCTAATGAAACAGCAATCTGTACTTGTATTAAGGAGATTTTGAAATCCTACCATCTTGGGAACACACGTTAAAAACATTTGTTATGACTTGGTAAAGGTTGGTAAATTTAGCTGCATTTAGCTACTTGACCGTAGCAATCATACACCTTGTCACAGGTCATTGAGGAACTTAGTAAGCCAGTTCCTAATACGACTTTAAATTTGGTCATAAAGTTTAAAAAAATAATAATAATAATAATTGCAAGTGGAAACTGATCATACAGCTCAAAATAACCAAAGTAGGCATCAGTTCAAATTCACATCTTAACAGCTCAAAGATTTATGGATGAGAAATTACAGTTATTGATGCTTAAGGTGCTTTCTTTACTTTAGAATTTGCTCATATTGCACCAGATCAGGCCTAAAATCATTTAGCCAGCATCTCCCACAACAATCCAGAGAGTGGACATTTTGAAAGTCTCATGAAAAAGCACTGGACAAAGTTACTTTGCTGTAGCATTGGATCATAGTGCAACCAAATCAAAATGGAAAAGAACATTGGGCAACAGGCTCTAAAAGTAATGTTTTGTACTAAGCCTACTAAGATATGTGAAAGTATTCATGCATAGAGGGGGAAAACGCACATGTGGCAAAGAAATGAGCGACATGTCAGGGTCACCTGATTTATAAATCTAGAAGAACAACAATTCTATAGGGAAAATGCAAAGAATGTTCTAAGTAGTTATTTCAGGAAATGGAATTCCGATAAAAAAATGTTTCTCCCAAGATAGAAACTGGCATAGCATATCCTTGCATTTGAACTCAAAAGTTCCCCAAAGTTAACTTAGTTGCAGAAATGTTTTGGTGCAAAAGCAGATAGTTTTTAGATTTGCTTAAACCTTCTGAGTATCAGAGTCATGTGCGGCAAAATGCATCACTCACGACTCTGGCACTCACATGGTTTTCAATGGACAGGCCAAAAACATTTGGATTACTGCAGACAGTCATTTTAACTTCACTGGACCACTGCAAAGATCTTGAGTTAGTTCCTGGATTTGTAGATTGCATCCTCACGATGCAGGTTCCTTCAAAACGAACTTATCTGCTACCGAGTTACACTTCATAGATTCAAAACCTTCATAATAAGAAGTGCTTTGAGCATGTGAATCAAGTATGAGAGATAGGACACCACTGTGTAGGATTACAAATTAGTTTTTGATTGCGGATCTTCGTTTCTTGTTTCCTGAAGGCTGTAGCTTGGCTGCAATAAACAACCTGTTTTTGTTTCTTTCTGCCTCTACGCAGGATCCACAAATGTGGGAAAATGTTCTCTCAATTCAGGTAAAGTTTTAAAGTCAGTCACGAATAGCGGATCTCATATCTAGGAAGGCAAGTTAAGGAAATATATTAATAATAATACAGTAAAAAAAAAAAAAAAAAAAAAAAAACACTTTCAAAATGATCAGACATCCACACATTGTGCCTGTCAGCTTGACTTTAGATAGGTATAAAACCATATATGCAAATCAGCAAAAATGTAGTAAAACACATGGACACATTTTTCACTTCTGAATGGCTACACACTAGGCATTCTGGGAAGCTGCATAAGCCATAGAGGTGCGGGTGAAGATGCACATGCCATCTACCATGGCAGCAACAATTTGCATAGTAGTTTCTAAACTGTTAGTGCCCCAAAAATAAGTGACCTATACATTTGGCTAGCACGGTGTATAAATACTACATATAATAAGAATTATAAAAAGAAATCCCACCCAAAAGCATACTTGCTGATAAAGCTAAATGAGATGATAAAGATACGCTCAATGACATGCTAACGGCACAGAAATAGCTCACCCTCCACCGTGTTCAAGAGGAGCTCTGTATCTTTACTGTATTCCAATATGAGACAGCTGTACTCTACAGAAACCAGCATTATGTCTTTAAGAAGAAGACTGTAATGCTAGAGGGTGAGACCTTTCGGGGCTTTAAAATGTTATAGTAATTATGTAGATAGAGTTGCCTCCTTGTAAAGTATACTGATGTTTGTATTAACAAAATAGAATGGAGAAAAAACAAAACAAAACAGAAAAAAAAAAAAAAAGACAACCAAAACCAACCTTGGTAATTTTCTCTGGTGGGTTTTGCCATTGCGCTTGCTGCATCACATCATTAACAATCATTTTTGCTATTTTCCAGGCCATTTCTTCTTGAGCCTAAAATAGAAAGACACATGATTCAAATGAACAAATTTCAAGATGTAGCAGAGTAGTGATGGCTAATTATGGTACCACAGATGTGTGGAACTCATTCCCCATGATGCTCATCAAGTCTAATGGCTGGCTAAGCATTATTGGAAATATAGTAAACTAGAAATGTTCCTAAATGTCCTACAGATACTAGAAGACCATATGAATAAGGTATGCTGTTTTCGAAGAAAAAAAAAAAAAAGTTAAATAGAGAAGGATTATTTCATCCAAGAGCTGTATAGGAAGGTTATCAACATATATAGTGAAAATGCTTATTAGTTATCAAATTGGAAAGTTTAAAAACTGCACACAAAAAAAATTACAAAGTTGGAATTTTGCAAAACTGTCACTTAAAGAGGAACTAAAATCAATTAAACAATTAAAAAACTAACTGTCCTGCTGGGCTAAGTAGGCCCAGAATGCATGTTTGCACTTCTAAGTATATGCCAAAGGAGTCATGTTGAAATGTAGTAAGTAGATTCCATTTAACTGTACTGTATAAATGTGTCTGCCAAACCACCCCCCCCCCCCCCCCCAAAAAAAAAAAAAAAAAAGAGCCCTATAGCCATAAACACTAAAAGATTTTCTTCCCACAAAACACCCAAAAGGCCATGTAAAAAAAGATGTAAACCAGCATATGGTAAGATTATGGTTATGGTACTTTGGGTGTTCCTTAAGAAATAGTCATAAAATAATTATTTTGAAGTTATAATCAATGCACCAAAATATATTTAGCTGAAGTAGTTTTGGTGTATAGAGCATGTTCTTGAAGTCACTG